CCAAATATACTTTTAGTAAGTTAATGAGTTATATAAATTAGTAATTTGATTTTACAAAATAAACTTTATTTTGTTAAATATACAAAATAATTATGTATTAGTTTTAAACCTTCACGTTGCATAATTATTTCATAAGAAAGTTAGTTTAATGTTATTATATAGTTAGTATAATTTTGTATCATTTACTTATGGAGGCAAGTTATATTTACAAACTTTTTTATTTACAAATTCTTGCAAATTACATTATCTTCTCTCGGAAAAACACTAGGTTCATTATGTTCTCCCGGAAGGAGAAGATAGTGTAATTTGTAAAAATTTGTTAAAAATTTTTATAAACAGATCCTTCTTCTTTACTTATATATAAATAATTTATATTAAAAAATAAACTCTTTCATAATTTGTGGTATTTTACTAAGGGTTCCGATTGTATTATCTTTTTCTAAAAGACGGTGAAGAAAAATCTCAAAAATATAGGTTGATGGTTTTGAGGGCTGCTAGCTAGTTCACGTACGTAGAGACAAATAAATTGACAACTCACAAGGATTGAAAAGTTCGTCGAGTTGTGCCTGCTATGATATGCAATATTCGATAAAGTTTGAGGAAGCTGCTAGTTGCTTCGTTATTATACTGAAATTTCCATATGTTGAGTCGGCTTGTGTTATATTAATATATAACCAGAGATTTGACTAAGGTTGCAATCATTGCAATCACTTTCATGGAAGTTGCTGGTTGCTCTCTCTTATATTATTAATTTTTTTTTTTTTTTAATTTTACCTTCCTATTTACACTAAAGGATCACCTAAAAAATGGTGATCCCAGTTCACAATAAATAATCTTCAATTTCATGACGTAGCTGCCTCTAAATGCAACAAAGGAAATTTCAACTAATAAAATTCTACTTTCACAGTTATATGAATAGGTGATTTGATCCACACCAAAAAAGGGAATGATTGTGACATAATAAAGGGGTAATTAATTAAGAAGAGACCTATGTACCAAAATAAATAAATTAAGAAGAGACCTTTAAACCAAATTTTTATGTGTAAGGTTATGATGATCAAAATATGAGTCTACTTGTTTAATAATATCATTTAGACAACGTACAGTTCTTACATTTTTAAAAAAAATAATAAAATAAAAAATACACATTGCAGCGGTATTTTTTTATATCTCAATTTTTTCAAAGAAAAAAGTGTAAGCATCAAGTATCAATATTTGTGTATAAATAACAAATTTTAATTTATTCATCTTCTTCCACTATATGATTAAAGATGAACTGATTGTAATATTTTAAAATAAATAAATAAATTCTTTGCGACAAGTTTTCATCCAGGGTCACATATTAAGAGTTTCAGCTTTATGAAGTCAGCACATTTTGTTTTCAGGTAATTAGTATAAGAGCACCAGCGCAACCCACCTTGTAATGGTTTCGCTGCAATTAAAGTGAAGCTGATCTTCTATTTTCATGTATGATTTATAGAATTATTGAAAGAAAATTTAATGTGAATTCACATAAAAAAAATGTTAATTTACAATTCCAAGATCTTCATTAGTAAAAAAACTTAATAATAACATGTTATATAATGGAATTAAGAAATAGGTGTAATTGTAATGGAATAATAAAAATTGTATTATTAAGAAATAATATGTATATAAATCTGTAAAAGCATACTCAGTATACCACGTCGAATAATAAAAAGATATGTAGAATAATTTTTTAAAGCAAATTTCAACATATTCGAGGGCCAAAAGCTTATACAATTCGTCAAGACACAGAACTTTGTGATTATAGAGAACTGTCAAAACAGAGCCTATTGGAGAAAACTTTTGAGGAAGACAAAAAGAAATAGAGTTCATGAAAATTAAGCGCAACATGTCTAGCTACAACCTGTATTGAAATAACTGAAAAGATATTATATATATAAAGAATATTGAGAAAATGACAAAATTAATGTCGATTTGTCTATGAATAATTAAAATTGTCTCACATAACATCGTAATGTTAAATTACACATGAGACTACAAGAGAATACATTTCTAATATGAATAAATAATTAAAAAAATCACCTAGTTTATGTAAAGAGAGTTTTAACGCAAAATGAGGGTATCACTTGCATCACAATTCACACACCATGAAAATTTACGCACATTGTAATACTTCACATATAGAAGAACATGTAACATTACGTACAACAACTATAAAATAATAAATCAGTAATAATCAATTCATGAATCATAATTGATCTTAATCCGAACCATCGCGGACATGTGAACTCGTATCATGTACATGTAGACTCGTATCTAAAGGAAGTTGTGAGTAGTGGTGTGTCATGAGTACATGAGTCATATAAAAATGCAGGTGGAGAGATGGTTGGTGTGATGACCGGTGAAGGATCATGATCAGCGGAAGCAAATGGAATACTATCTTCAAAAAATTGTACATCACGAGAAATAAATGTTTCCTTTGTATCCAAATCGAAAACTCTCCAACCTTTTTTGTTCGAAGGATAGCCAATAAAAACACACTTACGAGAACGGGCAGCAAATTTATCAGATGGTTTGGGCAAAACCGTAGCATAGCGAAGACAACCAAGTAACCGAATATGATCATAGGTTGGTGGTACGTTGTGCAGAACTTCAAAAGGGCACTTTCCTTTGAGTAAGGTAGTTGGAATCCTATTAATCAGATGGGCAGCAGCAAGGATACATTCTCCCCAAAAAGAAAGAGGAAGATGGCCATCAAAGCGTAGAGCACGTGCCACATTGAGAATATGACGATGACGTTGTTCAACCCGACCATTCTGTTGGGGCGTGTATGGGCATGAAAATTGATGAAGAATACCACGGTTTGCGAAAAAGGAACTCAAAGGAGAAGAGATAAATTCAGTGCCATTATCAGATTGAACATTCTTAACTGTGAAGTTGTATTGTGTTTGCACCATTTTAATAAAATTAATTAACGTAGAACAAGCTTCATGTTTGTCACGAAGGAGATAAATCCATACAAACCGGCTACAATCATCCACAATCGTAAGAAAATAACGTGCACCTGAAGATGAAACAGTGCGATATGGTCCCCATAAATCACAATGAATTAAATCAAAAGGTTGAAGACTATGCTTTTTATTGATATTAAACGGAGTACGAGTTTGTTTGGCTCTACAACACACATCACATGGAGCCATTTTATTGGAACCAGAAACAAAAGGAAGCAAATAAAGATAATGCTGTGAAGGATGTCCCAAGCGTCGATGCCACAGAGTAGATGAAGTTCCACCAGAGACCTTATTTGCAGAAAACGCTTGATGAAACACATACACCCCTTCATGTTCAACACCCTTGCCAATCGTCCTCCTCGTCTGTAGGTCCTGTAGAAAACAATTGGAATCAGTGAATAAAGCGATGCAATTGCTGCAGTGTATTAACTGAGAGATAGAAATTAAATTGCATGTAAGGGATGGCACATAAAGAACGTTGGTAAGAAGCAACGTAGATGTGAGTTGCACATCCCCACATTGGATCGCAGCGGTACGGGTTCCATTGGGTAAACCGACTGAGCACGGAGGAATAACTCGGATATTAGTGAGGAAGGAGAGTGTGCCAGTCATATGTTGTGAAGCCCCACTGTCCAGAAGCCAAGGATGTGGGAAGGAAACAATACCCGATAATTTGTCAGTTGTTGCTTTAGATGAGACAGCAAGAGACATTAATTGTTGAACCATATCAGGAGTAAGATCAGTAGCAGACAATGGTTTTGGGACACTAGTAGGAGGAGGTAATGCATCCGAGTAAGTGGCATGAGCAGAAGCATGGGCAGAACGTCCTGGGTTGGAGCGGTCGCGACCACGTCCTCTTCCAGCAGTCATGCGATCAGGGTAACCATGAAGTTTGTAACACCGGGAAGCGTCATGATTGGGACGTCCACAGTGGGAACATATGATGCGGGCCTTTGAAGGATCCAGTGGTGCAGTGTGAAGAGCACAGCCGAGAGCATCAGATGGAATTTCAGCAGTCCGAACCATAGCCTTATGGGATTCTTCTTGAATTACCATAGCAAAAACACGATTGATAGTGGGGAGAGGATTGCTGTTGAGAATTTGAGTAATGAGAGTACCATATATATGATGATCAAGTCCGATAAGGAATTGATAAACTCGATCATGTTCGAGTTCAGCAGTGACAGATTTGGTAAAGGCACACGTATCACCAGATGCACATGCAGTAAGCTTGCGGCTTGATTCCAGTTCATCCCAAATTGAACGAAGTTTAGTGTAATAGTCAGTAACAGGGACGCCATTTTGCTTCATAGTGGCGAGAGCAGATTTGAGAAAAAAAATACGAGGAATGTTTGCAACAGCAAAACGTTCCTTTAGATCATCCCATAGATTCTTCGCAGTGTCGAAACATTTGATGAATGGCTGCATCTGAGGATCGATGGTATTGTGAATCCAGCTATTAATCATGGAGTTGCACAGGGACCAAGCATGAGCTTCATCAGAGGAAGCATCAGAGGGTTGCGTAACGCTGTTATCAACAAAGCCAAGCTTATTTTTGGCTTTCAAGGCGTTGCTCATGAGTTTGGACCAGTTTTCATAATTGGATTGGCCACGTAGAAGGACAGTAGTGAGAATAACCCCAGGGTGATCAGAGGGATGAAGGTAAAATGGTGATTTTGGGTCTGTGATTTTAAGAGTGGAGGCAGCCATAGTGGGAAAAAAAACTGACTTTAGAATCGTCTAGCTCTTGATACCATAAAGGAAGTTGTGAGTGAACAGCTTAGCTTTCTATTCATGTATTGGTCATTTAAATACATCTATCAGCAACTATAATACACATACGTAGGAATCTATTCCTAAGATAAAGGAAGAGTTGCAACTAAATTACAAACATAGAACAAACCTATTAACAAACTAACAAACCAAGTAACAAACTAACAAGGGAAACCTATCGTAATAGTATCAATTACATAAATACATGTATTATGCGTATGGATCCTCACTTCAACGGCTCATGTATTCCATTGCCGGAGCTGTTGGAGTCGTGGCTACTCCTTGGTTTCGCAGGTCGACATTTCCACGCCATCCTAACCAATTCAAATAAAATATATTCAAGTCGTCTAAAATTTTGATTGCGGACTTAGTTGAGAATTTCAAAGATAAACTTGAGTATTATAATAGCAAGAAACTGCTTGAGTATTATAATAGTAAGATATATGATTGAAACTGTGATAGATCAGAGACAAATAAAATAATAATAAAAAAATCAGACATAATATTTTTTAAAGTGAATCTATGAAAACGAAAGACCAAATGAAAAAAAGTTCGAGGGCGGCCAGCATATATATAAGAGTCTAATAACATTTCATAAATGGTTCATACCAATGACCATGTCAAATCCACGGTTTTGAAGTTCACGATAATCTTGACACAAAGCACAGGGCTCGCAGCAACAATGAACCAAGCAATCACCACAAGGTCTCTTCTTCAACTTGTACTGCGCTCTCATCTTGGAGCGGTAGAAGCAAGAGTACAAGCAACCAGCTGAACCACCAGTCACACATAAAATCAGCGTATACAGAGCCGCACTAGCACCACATGCTACAAATCACAAATAAAACAATAATTAGCCTCATTCATCATATATAACATATATGGGACTTCGCCTTTCGTTTTTTGACAGAAATCATGGTGTTTTTGTAATTTGAATTTATTTTAAGTTATAATAGTCTTTATACTTATAATTTTTTAAGATTTCAATACCAAAACGACGTCGTTTTGGGAATAAATGCAGATAACTTATCTGCATTAACTGCAGAAATATTTTTCCATATATATATATATATAATAATTGAATTTCTTCACAGAACCAGTTTCTTACAAGTTGATCCCCTGTCAACAATCTCTGCAACTCGGCCAAAGGTGACACATGGACACCAGCATGTTATGCAACCTGAAACAAAAACAAAATAGAGATTTAGTATAACAACACTCACTGGAATATATAGATCATGCAGAGGGTGGTGTGTAATGATGAGGGGCTTACAGTTTTTGAAGTTGGAGAAGCAGCCAAAGAGGCCTGTGGACCAATCTTTAGGCTGAGGAGGAGGTGGTGCTTGCGGCTGCGGCTGCGGCTGCGGCTGGGGCTGGGTAAACGGGGGGTTGTAACTGTTGTAACCCACCGGGAAACCAGTAACAACAGGCTGATTGTACGGTGGCTGTGCATGAGGGGAGATTGGTGGATACATAACTAGTAGATTCAAAGAAGCACCGAATTTGGTATGAATATGATGGCTAGGATGTGGCCGGCTCAACTATTATATATGCTTAAAATTTGAGGAACACTGAGCGTGGAGTGGTTCGACGATATGTACGAGGGAAGAGGATTATATATGGAAATAGTTATATCATCTTGTAGAAAATTAGTTGTGTCACGTTATAGACACGATCAATGTGAATTTTATCATTTTTTTTTCTTTTTTTATTATTTTAAAAATAGTGGGGTCCACATTAATTATGTCTTAATATAATATAACTAATTTCTTACTACATGATATAATTATTTTCCATTATATATGCACTCACAAACTAACCCCATACCAGCGGTTAATAAATCCAGCGTTTCCATTTCATTTTCAATTTTTACCAGTGTTGTTAAATTTCGATTGGTCATGTCATAACTTCCACACACACAAAAAAATCTATTGGTCATTAATTGGACAATCTAAGCTAAATTTATATAAGAATATATGATGAATATAATAATACAAACATTTTATCTTGCATGTGAATGTGGCTTGGTGATTAATGTCCTATATCTTTTAGTTTCTTCATCTGTTCCCTAGAATTTCAAATCTTTAAATATTTTACAAAAACAAGCGCCGGGTCAAATATCGAATGAATCTGGTTTATACTTTCTAGGCAGTTCACAGATTTTATATCGGTTTGCTTGCACAGCGCGCTGATTCATTAATTGTATAATTAAAAAGTTTTACATCAAATTTTAATTGTTGATTTTCATTAATTTAATAATTATAATTTATTATATCATACTTATTAATTAATTATTAATTTTTAACAAATTATAATCTTCAGATCGACAAAAATATCGCTTAAAATTTGATGTCAAACTTGAATGATGTTGTCCCTATATATATATAAGGGAATGATCCGTTTACATTTTTTTTTTTTACAAATTACACTAAATATGACCGGTCATACACTCTTGATTGAAGTATGACCGGTCATACTTAGTGTAGTTTGTAAGAGTTTATAAACAAAAAGTTTGTAAATATAACATTTCTCATATATATATATATATATATATATATATAGGTAAAATTATTTCTGCAGCCGCTTTACGTACAGCAACGACAGATGTATGGTTATTATGATTTTTCACATTTAATGTTTTCTCCTTTGTATGGTTAAGATTCCTCGCATTTAATGCTTTCAAGCATATATATGACAAATATTTTATTGTTGCACGTACAGCAGCTGCAGAAATGTAAACCCTATATACATATATATATATAATTTAAAACATTAAAGAAATGTCTTTTCTTTGAAATTTTGGTATAGTAGATTAGTAAAATGAGTGACAATTTGAATAAAAATCGTAATTACTCTAATGTATTGAGAGAGAAAAAATGTATCTCTTAGTTCACGAGAGAATTTTCATACAGACAGAAGGTTCAACTCCAATCAATCTTTAGAATTCTAGATCAAGGTCTAATTAGACTATTATACCTAAATAATCTAACCTAACCGGAAATCAAAAAATTGGATTGGTTTAAATACTTGAATCTGATCAGGTTAAGTTAAGATGAACTTGAAGACTATTGGATTTGCCCTTAGAACTAAGTTGTACCTTTCCTCCGTATATCAAGCCCAAACCAAATCCAACCCGAGTCTTTGTCATTCTTTTTTAAGCCCATTCGCTGCTCGTAGCTCACACCTCAGTACCTCACAACGTGGTCAATGGTCTCTGTGCGCAGACCTTGCAAGTTTTGTTTTTGGTGATAAGAAAAGTATTATTACCTACACTCGTATTTTTTAGACAGAGTATCATAAATTTTTTTTTCTCTCACTTCTAACTTTTTTTTCTCTCATATTTATTGTTTGGATAGGAGTTAATATTTGTCATACGCAACATAATAAAAGTATTATCTTTTGTTTTTAGGGGAAAAAAAATATAATGTTACTTTAGGTAATTTTGTCTAATGTTCTCCAAAATATATCGTTTTGAGATTGAAAAATTAAAAAATTAAAATTATAAAAATTATTATAAATCTGAAATAAATTAAAATTATAAATATATCATAATTTTATCCCAAAAATCAACATCATTTTGATAAATATTAGGCAAAATATCAAAAGTAACTTTAGAAACAACTGATCCTTGTTTTTATTGATAAATTGCAAGTTTTTCTTTTGAAACATCCTATTTGGGAGATCTGGTCGCAAACGGTGGATGTCCAATCATTGCAATTGAGTATCCGTGACGACCTCCTAGACTGCGCCTTTAAGGATCCAAAAAGGTGGATCCGGTCGTAGATGGTAGGGGTGTTCGTGGTCTGAATTAGATCGATTTTGAAAGTAAAATTCATTCGATTCATGTAATTATCTATTCGGTTTAGATTTTTTTCAAATCCGATCCGATCCAATCCAATTATTTTCGGTTTGGATTGGATCGGTTTTCGGTTTTTTGAATATCCTAAAATTAGTTTCATGATTATTGTGCAAATAATATCTTTTGTATATATTGGCTTTGTAAAAAAAAAAAATTGAAATACAAAAATATCAGTAAACAATACTATAGTTGATGAGACATGACTAAGTTTTTTCTTGGGTTTAGTTGATGAGTTAATGAGTCTTGAGTTTAGAAATTTTTGGGCTATGATTGGAGAAAGGACAAGTAGGTAGAGAATAACTAATATATTGGATCGGTTTGGATTGAATCGGTTTTCATCAATCCATCCGAAAACCAATCCAATCCAATTAAAATTTGCAGTTTTTTTTTTTGATTTTTGATTTTTCGATTTATTTTGTTATCGATTTTTCGGTTCGGTTTTCGCTGTTTGAATCGGTTTGGATCGGTTGATGAACATTCCTAGTAAATGGTGTGAGGTGAGAGATTGAAAGAAGAAGAAATTAGGGGAAAAAATTAATTAATTGTATTTTAAATAAAAAATTATAAATTTATTGCTGTTTTAAAATTATTTACACGTGTATTACAGTTAATTTGTAATACATGCATAAATTGTTTCAAAACAACAATAAATTCATAATTTTTTATTTAAAATGCAATTAATTAATTTTTTTTTGCCAAGAAGTTAGAGTTAATACATAATTATAAATTTTCTTCTCAAATTTTTTGAATGAAATGTTTTTTTTTTTTTAAATTAAATATATATGAACACGATTGCCCCAAATAAATTCAACCCAGAATTGATCAAATAGGTTCATTTCAAGTTAAACACTCGAAATTTGTCAAACTCAATTCAACACAAAGTGAGCACTTGTATTCTAGATACATTGTAATACTACCACACTTTAACTTATATTGGAATATATAACATCAATGACAATTATTAAAATGAAAAAAAAAAACTGGAATGACTCATTCTTCAAACATTGTTAGACATCGGATCTCACACAAGCATCATGGACACACACTCATTTCAGTTACAGAAGTGCATGTACTATTTATGTATATGGAAATTGGAATCATGGATCATCACTTCAACGGCTCATGCCCGGTTCGACTCTTGGAGCTGTTTCAGTCATGGCTACTCCCCGGCTCCGTTGCTCAACATTTCCGTGCCACCCTAACCAACCAAAAAATAAATTAAACCAAAAAAGTAAGAATCTATGTACAAAATAAGCAATTTATTTTCCAAACTTTATCCTTAATTAAATTGCTATCTCCATTGCTTCTTTGCTGGGAATTTAGAAGATTAAACAAAAGCATCAGAATAAAATTAAAACATGTCCGCAAGGTTTCCCTTAATCGATAGAACATTCAAATGCATATAAGATTTATGGATACTTTCAAATGATGGATTTATTTAAGAGGGAAAAAAGAGAGTTATATTTATTGGTTAAGAAAGTCAATAGAAGGAGTGATAAGAAAATCGTTGACAAGACAGAGCCCAATCAAGAAATTCAAGTGACAGTTACGACAAACGATCGTTCTTATGTTATGGTTATATTGAAGGAAGAAAAGATTCAAAACAAAGACAAAGAATAAAAAATTAAAAAATATTAAGGGGCTATATATATATATATATAGATCTGGATCATACCAATAACCATGTCAAATCCACGATTTTCAAGCTCACGATATTCTTGGCACAAGGCACAGGGCTCGCAGCAGCAATGAGTCAAGCAATCAACACAACCACTTCCCTGCAAATTGTACTGGCGTCTCATCTTGGAGCGGTAGAAGCAAGAATATAAGCAACCGCATCCAATCACACAACAAATTAGCGTATACAGAGCCCCACTAGCACCACAAGCTTCAATTCACAATTTAATAGCAATTAGTCTCATTAATCATAATTGGAAAGAGATTAACAATCTCCACCCATTAATAATGATTAATGGGGGATTTATATATATATATATATATAATAACATACGAATTAGTTGTCATAAATGAGTTTCTTACAAGTTGATCCCTTGTCAACAATCTCTGCAACTTGGCCGAAGGTAACGCATGGACACCAACAGGTTATGCAACCTGAAACATATTAGACAGTTATTATAAAACATATATATATAGTATTGAATGGAATGGGGTGAAGCAGAGGGAGAGGGGACTTACAATTGTTACTGTCGGAGAAGCAGTCACATAGGCCGGTGGACCATTCAGTAGGCTGGGGAGGTGGCGGTGGTTGATGGTAGTGGGAATTGTCGGTGGAGTACGGTGTTGAAGTGCTGTAGCTCACCGGGAAACCGGTGGCTGCTGGCTGATTGGACGGTGGCTTTGCTGAGTCTGGGGCGGTTTGATACATAATTAAATTCTGCTGGAACTAGCTCTGGTGTTGGGTGAAGTAGCAGAAATGATTGGACTTGGAGCAATTTGTTTAGATAAGGGGTGTGAGTCTGTTATTGTTTACCTATGAATTTGGCTCCACCATTTATAATACAGAAATTGGAGTGTAGAATGGTTCTACGATATTGGATGCAAGTCAAGGTCAATGACAGAGGGGCTGCATAACCGCGTGCAACTTGTTGTTTACTTCCAAAACTATTAAATAAGCATAGCAACGGATAGTTTATTAGAGGATGGGATGAACATGTCATTTTTATTCTTTTATTTGTTTTATTAGAAGAGATCTTTCAAAAATACGAAAATATTTATGCACTTTTAGCAGAAATAATTTATCAGCCACAACACACATAAAAAAAAGGTGAGCTCCATTAAAATTTTCTTTTCCATTTTTTTTTTTTTGTCTTGTGACAGATAAATTATTTCTGCTATAACTACAGAAATAGTTTCGCCTTTCAAAAAATTAAATGAGATTAAATATCATGTCTAAACAAATTACATTTTAAATTATGGCTTTTTAAATTTAAAAATAATACATCGTTCTTAACTTTTCTTCTTTCCTCTTCTTTTTAATTGTATTTTAAATTAATCATGCATTTCTTTATCGTTTTAAATACTTGATATATGTGTGAACTAACGTAATGAGATTAGGAATCGATGGGGTATAGTATGTCAATATACCAATAATACGAGAGACAATGGCATAGATCAACGAACACTAGAGAATTACTACAGATATATCAAGTGAAGGCTAAAAGCAAAAAGAGAATGTGTCTGAGAGCACGATTCTGAGGATATGTTTCATCATGGTAACAGTTCTCTAATCAGTATGCATAATGTGTCTCTTCAACGGCTATAGAGAGGTATTTATAGATGAAAAAATTCTCCAATAATTGAATAAAAAAGTGAGTAATAACTATTTTGCCATAATAGTCCAATGGTGTGAGATACTCACACTCACCTGAAACATAAGTGAGTTATATTTGTGCATGGGAATGAAATTCTCTATAACAATTCTCTATAACAATAAGTATTTGTTCACACATAAATACTTGATATATGTGTGAACTAACGTAATGAGATTAGGAATCGATGGGGTATAGTATGTCAATATAACAATAATATGAGAGACAATGGCATAGATCAACGAACACTGGAGAATTACTACAGATATATCAAGTGAAGGCTAAAAGCAAAAAGGGAATGTGTCTGAGAGCACGATTCTAAGGATATGTTTCATCATAGTAACAGTTCTCTAATCAGTATGCATAATGTGTCTCTTCAACGGCTATAGAGAGGTATTTATAGATGAAAAAATTCTCCAATAATTGAATAAAAAAGTGAGTAATAACTATTTTGCCATAATAGTCCTATGGTGTGAGATACTCACACTCACCTGAAACATAAGTGAGTTATATTTGTGCATGGGAATGAAATTCTCTATAACAATAGTCTAATTAGGTGGTGTTTGGTAGGGGTTATCTTTGAAGATACCTAGGCATTGGAGATAGGTATTTTTTGTTGTCCAATTCAAGATATTACAAAATTTTGGTAGGAACATATTTTCCCAAACTTTGACATTTGTGAGTAAAAAGGGACTAAAATTTGACCATAGTACCCTCTTCTTAACTAAGTACCGCGAAAGTGAGACTTCTCTATCAAAAATCATATTGTTCATCTCTATAAAAGCTCATTTTCAATTGTGAATGTTGCACACAAGATCTCCAAAGGGCGAATGCAAGTGATTTTGCATGTGCTAAATAACACACTCTTCTTCTGTCGTTAACAGAACCAATGGTGACAGACATGTCGCCAGTGATTTTGTTGGGGATAGCCGAGGGTTATAGGGTTTATCTGCAAAATGAGTAGACCCTGGACCTATTTTGCAGATCTGAAGCTATGTCCCCTTTTGCAGCTCTAAAGTTATGTCCCCTTTTGCAGCTCTGATAGTCACAATTAACCTATTATGCAGATATGAAGTTATGAACCTATTATGTAGGTTTCGTGCCAAGTTTGGGTTAAATCTATGTAGCATTGAAGCTTTTTCCCTTTTTGCAGCTCTGGTGATCAAAAAATGGCCACACTGAAGAAGTGGTTTGCCTCAATTTTGGTAGAGTCCATGGAGAACAGCATAATGGTGATGACTATTGTCTGTTAATGAGGTTTGAGGAGTTTCTATTTTTACTACTGTCAATTGGTATAAGATGTGCATATCACCATGAAGGTTCAAGACTTGGATGAAAGGTGCCCTGCAACTGCAAATACAGTCCAACCATGAATCGTCTACATGGTTCTTTAACTAGTGGCAATTTTCTAAAAAATAAAGTCAGATGTTAATATTTTTAATAAAGGGTTATTTTTTTCATTTCAATCATTTTTCCCATCAATATTTTACATTCAACCAAACATATACTCTGGAAATTTAAATAAATTTTCCTGGTAATATTTCGGTCAACCAAACAATTTTTTTTTAAATTTTCCATCTTACTTTTCTACCATATTCCCAGTAATTAAGATTTCATGGTAAAAAAAAATTCTCCTCTACCAAACATCCACTAAAAATATTATTTTATGAATGCAAGGAAATGATCCCTCGTATGGGCCTTAATGGCCGGCTTGTTAGACTGAATTGGTATGGTCGGTCCATAATAAATTATATATATTTAACTTATAATTCAAATTATAAATCTTTAAATCTATATTTTTAAAGTTGTTTAAATTTGAAAATATTCTTACATTGCGAGATAATTATTGATAAGTTTTTTTTTAAATGCCTTGTAAATAATTACATTATAAAATTACTTCCCCTATTATTAAATAAGCAATGAGAAAAATAATTGTATCACATAGGGGTGAAAGTGGGCCGGGTCGGTCTTCAAGAGCCTACCATATCGCCTATATCAGACCAGACTTGACATATTACATATAGTGAAATAGAACAGATTCAGGCTTTTAAATAAGCCTATGTAGAAAGCAGATCGTAGGCTCTCTTTTTTTACATATTGGGCCTATAAGCTTAATGGTTGGATTATATCATATTATTTATTTTAAATAAAATAAAATAATATTATTCATAGTAGCACCAAATGGTAATAGTTTAGTTGGTGCATGTAAGCTGAGTAGGTTATGGAAGGACCTACGTACGATCCCCCACCAATACTACCTTTGGGAGTGGCATAAGATTTGTATCAATCTCTACAGTAGCATCAGAATTAACATTTAGTGCTGGAGAAAAAGTTATTGATGCCTATCGTTCTAGCTTGACTGAAGATACCATCCAAACTTAAATATATGGTAGAGATTGGCTACGTAATAAGTATGACTTGAAGAAAAAACAAAAGGTATAAAAAGGGTTTTAGTTTTTAATCTTTTTTTTTTTTTACATTTACAAACTGTTTGCCAGCTTATGTAACCTTGGAGTTGTATTTGTAGGGGAGAGAAGAAAATGAGAAGTTTTTGGCTACTACAAGCATCTTGATGCATCTCTTGGATTCATGCAGTTATTTTAATTTATATAGTATGGATTGATTTGTTGGATCTAATTAAATATATGTTATTTAGTTTAAGCATTTTTCTTCTGAAAGTGACTTAAATGCATATTATGATAAGTTATCGTTGTTGTGATTCATGATTTTGTTTGAACGTGTGTTTTAACAACAAATTTAGTATTTTGTGAAGTTGATTCATGTTCTACTTGAAAGTTAAAAATTAACATACTAATAAGCTAGGGCAAGTCATTATTTTTTTTGGGAAATCTTAAAAAATCCCCCTCCTCATAATTATTTACCCACTTCTTGAAATTTTGAATCATTTACGCCTTGACTTAAAATTTGTTTATCACGGAATAAGTGATAAAAAAACTTTAAGTCAGGGGGTAAGTGATAAAAAATTTTAAATAAGGATGTAAATGATTCAAGAAATATGTGAAGGTGGTAAATGATAATTGAGAAAACTCAAAGGATTTTTTGAAATTTTTTCTTTTTTTTATAAATGGGTCAAATTATGCTAACAATTAGACTCGTACTAAATTAAATTTTTTGACATAAAGTTAAACTTTTAACGTCAAAGTTCAACTCAGCCGAGCCCGTCCACTTTCACCACTGTCATATGATGCCACATTAGGAACAAGATCTATCGGAGTTAACATCGCAGCAGCTTCCAAGAACTACCGGATGAAATTTCATTTTGAAAGGTTTTGTCTTGCTTCCTTGACTCCAAAGTTGACTACGTGGAATGGATGAAACAAACAAACAAACGAGTTCTGCCTGGTTGGTTTTGGCTGCTTCTCATCCCAAACCAAGGTTTGTTGAAAAGAAAGATTCATAACCTTTGGATAAACGTGTTTTGGAAAGCGTATTTCGTTTTTTTGCCACCACGAGAATCCTAATCATACATGATATTAATTGGTTAATGCGTGGTCAAATTGGAAAAAGCTTCTCTTAAAGGAATTTGTTTTTAAAATAAAAAAATTATATTAAATTTAAAATACTACACTTTTTTTTTTTTTGGTGAGGAAATAACTACACTTTTATTTCCTTGTTTTACAGCTTGTTGAACCGTTCTCGGTTCTCATTCTTTTCTCCACAATGCTTTACACAGCAGGGTATCATTGTTGAAAAAAGAAAAAACATCGAAACCGTCTCCATCCACGTTTTTGAATTAAAATTACTGAATTTACGCTTTTCATATTTAAAAGATTTTATTTGACCAATTCTGTATATAAATGGAGAAACAGTAAAAATAGATTTTTTTTTTTTCAAAAAAATATTAGATTTAGCTGATTCAGAATATAGATATTTTTATTTAATTCTTTTTCTTATTCTGGTTGCATTTTTACTCTCTATAAATTTTTGTTCTTTTTTGACTTGTTGACTTTAGTCAATTAATTTATTGACTCTATCTAATTAATGTTATTCTTATGAAGTTCTTTTATCGAAATTATTTTGTCATTGATGGCGTGTCATGTTAAAAATTTAAAAATATGGCACGTCAATAAGTTTGAAGCATCACCATTTAACAAAATAATTTTGATGGAGGGTAAATAACATTAGATGCAATTGGCAATTCAAAAGATGATAAATTAAATAAAGAAATAATACAGAGTAAAAACATATAATACTTTTCATAATTTTTTTATTTTTTATTTCAAACAGG